AAAAAAGGGTACTCTAAATTTATCGTAAACGGTGCCTTTAATTTTCCCTGACTCTGCCAAAGAACAGTTACTTTTTGTTGACTCTATTTTAGGAACATTATGGAAAATCCAACTCTGAAAGTGTCTCCATTGTGAAGGAGCTTTTCGACAAATTGAAGATTCGAGATGATTTTTTAAAGTTTCAAAGCGATTTCTCGGAAAAAGTAAGTTAACTACAGATAGGGATACGTCATCTGACAAACGTAGATCTAACGAAATTTCTCCGGTTCTTAACGTAGGAAGGCTATCTCAGTGCTCCATGTGATAGGAGAACGCCTGGGCGAATGGCTCTGGGACGGTCGGCAACCTCGGGAAATCGACGAAATTATGGTAGCCATCGTAGAGTGAGCAAAGCTCGCGCAGGAATGAGTGCTTTTTGAGTGAAAATAGGAGACTAGGTCCGGGATAACTGGGAGATCGCCGCAAAGTGGCAGGAAATCACCCAAATTTCGAGTTCAATGTGGGCCACTAGGTTACGAACGTTGTCTAGGGCTGCACTTTTGATGAATATTAGTTTTTCGGGTTATTCGTCGGTGAAACCGGAAAATTAGAGATCGTAGAAGCTCAGGCATTTGGGAAGGCTCTCCTCCAGGAAACAACAAGTCAATTGGGAATACCGTAGGACAGAGTTCTTTTTCTCCCCCGAGAGAAGGCCTTTTGTCGAAATCAAAAAATATACAGTCTGAAAATTTATTGTGCAATTTTAATGAGATTTGCAGATGAGAGGCGACATTGATGGGATGCCACTGCGTTTGTCAGCACTGAGACCCGTCTTATTGGGTATTCTTAATAAGCTCATAGATCGGAAAAAGTGAATATTGAAAGACTTGCTAGGTTTCAATTAGGAAAGTCGTCATTATTATATTCATTATTATTCTTTGCCGTTGTTGTTATTGTCTCTGTCGGGGTGTGGTGCAGTAGGAACGAAATTGTCGCGTCGCGGCGAGAGAGACGTCGCGCGCGAAGGAAGCTAGCAGAATGCAGCAGCAAGTAAGAAATACAGGAACAAAAGAACTAACAGTAGAATCATGCCAAAAGCAATAATCGTATAGCGATTGAGCTGTATGAGGAACGCTGGAACTGTTACAATGAGGCCGAATGGTCCGCGGCGGCCGCGTGCGGCGGATCGATTACACAGAACCGTCCCTAGTGCCCGTCTCCCTCTCTGTCGCTGCCCCTCTAAATATTTACATGAACACCGTGGTGAAGTAACAACTATCCACTTTAGCTGAATCAGAAAAGTGTTTTTATGGGATATGTGTACTCTAAAGTAACCGGAAATGATCTCTCAGGGTGATTTCCTAAATGCTCTACTCCACGCATTGCTTGGTTGGTTGCACAAGAGCAAGTTTTTGCGGCTCAAACCTTGTAGAAGTATAAAATAGTCCTGTTAGTCCTGAGCAAGTAATCCATTACCCATAAAACCTTGACATTATTTAGATAACAGTTCCATGAAGGCGTTTTTGTTTGTATAATCACGAAGAAATAAATAAATGACTTTGCAGACTGATCAGTTTTTTCCACACTCAAAGCAATTTCAGTAATACTGTTGCTATAGATACTTATTTTGAGCAAGTTGGAGGGGTTAAAACAACATGGGCCTCAAAGTACTGAAGTGTTCGGAAAGTATCTGTCAGGTTTTCCACAATAGCTTAGGTTTTCGGGAATGTTCTGTAGGTTTTCATACAAAAAGACTACTTACTTTCATGCGCATGCACTAATACCCTTTAACTCCATATAATAGGTTGATGCATAATTATTGCGGATTTTTCGCGGCTTCTTTGTTCTCGATCTAATTTTAATATATTTAGAATTCGGGATTCAATAATAATTATCTTCTTTCTTTCCCTAACAGAAATATGTCTAGAAAGTCATCTTCAATTACTTCACATTATGCCCTATTACTTAGAGAAAGATTGGAAGATGGCGCAGTCATAAAGTGATCTCGACGAACTTCTCGACGATGGAACAGTCAATCAAAGCCGAATAAAGTATGGAATCTGCTTCTACGATTGCCCCATTCACCTACAGAAACTCCCATGAATTATTGCGTCGATCGTCCGTTGAAAAAATGGCTAGCGAACGGACCTTTCGGCGAGGTGGTTGAATTCATGGCCGACGTCAAAGCGTGTAACGCCTCCAAGTAACAAAAATTCTCACCTGTGGAATTCGACGGCCCAGCAAATGGGAAGCAGCGCTTGAATAGATGGTGGATATATTTTGGAGTAATTATTCGAACATGTCTTTGCTAAATATTTCTGTAGTTCCTTCAGGCAAATTTGGCTGAAAAAAAAATCCGCAAGAGTTATGTATCGGCCTATTATTACAATTCTCAAATAATACACTTGAGATTTGTCATAAATAAAAGTTTTAGTCATTTAATTTTATTTGCTGCACTAGAAATGCCGAAAAAAAAANAAAAAAAAATGCATTGATTATCACTCACATTACACTTCTATTCAAACGAAAGATTGGAAGTTCACTAGCTGAAAGTTTCCATCAGAGTCGTATCCTGTTGCATGCCAATTTTGGTACACAGTGAAGAGGCATCTATTTGCTGCCCCATCAGTGGGGAAAGGCCTGTTCTAGTCTAACATATATACTACCCTTGAATTCACTGTTCTTGGATCCTATTGAGCATTAGAGGCATTAGAGATCGAGATCATTGTGCCCTCATAGAGTTATAGAGCGAAACTGTTGTTGCAGAATAGTTTATCGCTGGCAAAAGAAATGGTTGAAAGAAACCTCGAGACATGAGGCCTCTTTTGAACGGCGAACGTCCGTTGCGCGCGTCCGTCGAAGGTAGGACACCCCCGCCCACTTCGCGCGCGGCGCACTCCGCTGAGGTCTCGGGATGACATTACAGTACCATCAAGTGTGAGTGGAGCGAACGATTTGCATTAGTTCGTGTTATTTTCTCTTTGAGCTAACTGCCGTGGTTCAAGCGCAAACCGTATGCCCCACTGACAACTGCGACGTCTGTCAAGTATCGCGGGCTGACCCGCCGCATGCGACGGCTGTGGTATGACCTAGTTTCGACGGGTAACGGAACTTCTCCCCTATCGCGGCATTCTCCCTTGCGGCATGCGGCAAATGCCACTGCAATTACCGTACTCACCCCGCCTCCCGAAAATCGATAGGACGCGATATTTTTCCTTGACTGGCTTGCTTTTTCATTGGATTTTATCGTTTTTTCTTCTGTTTCTTTTTAGTTTTCATGTTTATTAGACTTGATTAATTAAAATGACTCCTCTTCTATAAACGACGATCAATACCGCATTGAAATTGAAGGGAGCGACCAGCCAACTCAAATGATTAAAGGACTCCCTACCTCACAAATTGCGCGCTCCAATCTTTCATCGCAATCCTGCGATAGGCGGCGGGTGCGGCGGGTGCGATGCCGTGTTAGGGGAGAAGTTCCCGGACCCAGTTTCGACGGATGCACGCAACGAAGCGCACCCCTTTTGCACAAATAGTGGTGGTGGTCGAGTTCCTGATGACGAAGGGAACAATTGGACGAGATCCCATTTGCTGGATGGCAACGTTCGTCAGGTATTATACATATTAGCGGTGACAGCTGACGGCATTTACAACAAAGATGCTTCATTTTGAACGGTATCACCTATACAAGACCGCTCAACACTTCCCTCTTTAAAAATATCTAGCCCTTATCGCGCTCAAACTGGAGCTTTTTCACCACCTATAACCCATGTGGCCTTCTCGAAGGCCACAGTTTCCCATCATTAGGGAATATTCTTCATCGTCAACGCCTAAAAACACTTTGGATTATCTCGAAAACCCAATCATGGGCATTAAATAATCCCACAACAGGAACATTAACTATTACCTCAACAATCTTTGGTATCTGAGCTATCTGTCTCCATCCATCAAAACCGAGTGTAATTCGTTCCAAATTATCGACTGATATAATACAGGGCGCGTACGTTGAAGTAAGCCCGAACCCATAATCAAACAATACTCAAAACTGGAGAAATGTACTGATGCTGGAAGGGGGATGAAATGAGGTACATAGAAACATGTAAGAACTCAAAAAATGGCTAGGGAGATCCTCCGGGTAGAAAACTAAGGAATGAGTGGCGTAGGAGTCGCAGTTATGTTCACGTAAAACCCTTGGCATTTTGGATACAAGTCACCGATCTGAAAATGAATCTTAGGGAAAAATGCCTCCCAACCACGCGGGAGCTGAGGCCTTATATAAAGTTGGCGTCCCCGTAGAGACTTTGAGTGAAGACCTACCCCAGCTGACTCTGGTCGATTGGTACCATCGGTTGCTGGGTGGTTTCGAAGAATACCCAAAGCTGCGGTAAGTGGCCCTCCTTCAAACACCTGCGTGCCCTGGGGGTATCGAGCAAAGGAGACGTCTGATCGGATAGTCACAAATTATTATGATCTTACGAGGCTGTGAAGAAGTCGACTCCGCCGAAACGTCAGCCTAACTAAGCTAATATACAAATCTCGTGAAAAGTTCAAGAAAACAACTCATTAACAAAGGAATGAAGTTAGAAGGTCACAGACCTTGTGTTCAGTGCTCGCACAGAGAGCATTTGATGGAGAGCCCATCTGATTTACGGGCTTTCTAAAAGTCCCCCTCCACAGATCTTCGCCAAATCGAATAGTGGTGAAGAAGACCGCTTCCCACACACCCTATTCGATGTATTAGGAGGACTAACAAGACGGCTCAGAAACGAATAGGGAGAGAGAATAATGCTCTTAAAGACACCACTGCACACAATTACAGCGTACCCACAGCCTTTGAATGCGTGACAGTGTTGCGAACAGTACTCTACTCGAACTGAATTGCAACGACAAGTAACTTCAAAACCTAAATCTTCGGCACAGTAGGAACAATGTCTGATTTTAACAGCCAGAATGATTAGTGACTTGTAACAACCATATCGACAAAGTTTATGCATTCATGTTTAATAAAGAATTGTATTTTCTTAATCATCAAATCCATAGACACACAAACCACGTCGCTTCAGAGCGTTCTTGACGTCTTCGACATGAATTACTTTTCTTTTTGCATGGGTACAGTACTGGATAATGTCATAGATGATATCGTCTAGGAAAGTCTCGAGAAATTGCAGCGATTCTTCGTACACATCTTTGCGTAGCCGCTGCACTCCCGCTCGAACAGCCAGCTTTCGTATGGAAGCTCGCGAAATTTCATGGACCTTCACAGTTCTTTTTCCACGTTGAACCAGCTCCGGTGGAACGATGAGGACAGGCCGCTGATTCCTCAAACTCTGACGGGTCACGGGCCGATGGTGATCGTGCGGTGGTAAGGATATCGTAGATTCACTTCTTCGACGGGAAGGCGTCGACGATGAGGAAGGCGAGTCCTTCGGCGGTTTATCGCGACCAGACATGGCTACAGCAATGAGTAAAATGAAAAAAAACTGTTGGGCTCTGCTTCTATCCACAACCGGGACACTCGCCGCGAATCCATAGAATGCCTTCTTGGCGCCTTCATTTTCAGATGGATTTTCAAAAGGAGCGGTGCTGATAGAGGCTCCGTTGAAGCAACCATTGTAAAGTTAAGGAGTCTGCGTGGAAGGCCAGACTCCACAACTTTGCGACTCCACAGGCTCCACATCTCTAAGACGAAAGTGTGTGAAGTGGGAAGGAAGGCTGTAGAATTGTGCAGTGGTAGAACTTCTACAAGCTGCGTTTGTGCATGTCTCCTATCTTACACGTTTTTCGTACTTTTCAGCAAAATCGACTGTGACACAATCTTTGCATCGACGGACGACGGAGGACACAAAAAAACCCACGCCTACCCTCTTTTCACCTTTGTCATGACTCGCTTTTCACTAGTTACATTTTCTAGCTTCTTTTCGTCGTCGTATACATCGTCTCTCGTCGTATACAAGCATGTGGGTAGGCGTCCGGGAATCGGACTGGTATGAATATAATCACGGGCATACTGAAGGTAGGTTGATCACCATGTGTGAGGTTTAAACGAAAGAAAGTTGTTTCACTGGCATCGCTTTGCCGCTCTCTTCCAGGAACCCTTTTCGAAGGTCTATAAAAGCTCGACCAAAGACCCATTACTTCTTTGGGTGTCGAGCAATTTCCACTACCAGTTGTTGGGATTGTCGGTAATCTGTTCAATGGACATTTCCCTAACGTTATTCAGAACTTCTTACAGTATTTCAGTGCACAGCAGCGTGTAGCAGCAGCAGTATATTCAATTAGCAAACGGTGGCAAGGATGTCGACCCCTACTGGACGGAATGTTCCTATCATAATATAATCGTATGTGTGTGTGCCATCATAGATGTTTCTTGATGTGAAGGGTAATGAGGAGTATTACATCCTACAGAAGATGCAAAACCTTGAGAAATCGCAAACAACTTCATGTACAATGACACAGGTGGACAGCTGTGCCACCTCAACCGAGTGCCTTCAGAATAAGTCTAAAGTTTCGGGAATTCGGACCTTTGCCACCAATCTGTGAAGTGGTAGGGTGGGAAGTAGCATTATCTTTTGATGACAAATCCGTTGAAGGAATCGACAGGAAACGAAATTCACAAGGGTCACTTCTACAGGCAGTGAGGGGGAATCCGAATCTCAGATTTCCCCTCACTGCCTGTGGAAATGACCTTTGTGGAACCATCAGAATCTTCGAATATGGGAGAGATCGTGCCGAAGATGTCTGACTTCACATAATACATGGGAGGAATTTTAGGGATTCGTAGTCAACGCAAAAGCAGAGGGGAACACAGAGAATCAGGAATGTTATTTCTTATCCCGGCAAATTGAATATCATAGCCATGCGATTTTGTGGCATACGTTGGACCGATGCGTTTCATTTCCCGGTTCCTTCGGGAAATTAAGCAAATACCAGGATGGCAGCCAATTCGATGGTCATACTCCTATTCAAAGCTTCGGACGAAACTAATGTTATGTTTGGTGTAACTGGCTACATTGGCTCACGACAAGGAGGATAGAGACGTCGCTGGTAGCTGCCTTTGCAAATTGATGATGAACGGGACGACGTGATATAGAACACTTTCAAGAAAAGGCCCAGCACGACAGAACGCTTACCGAAGGTTATGCGAAGAAGGAAGATGACTTTGGGGCTGTGCTACTCCACCCCTGGCGGAGGTGGTGTAGTGGCAAGTGGCGCACTATGTCACACGCACGGTCAGGGGTTTGAATCCAGGATCGATGCCAGCCTAGGCCAACCAAGCCTTCCATCTCTCCGGAGTCGGTGAATTGGTACCATCCTCGTCTGGGAGGATAAAAGCACTGACTTGTACTTCGGCTGGCCATTGCAAAACATTGTATAGGCCACATACGCACTCATTACGCCACTACGATTCTGAAGGGATGTCGAGTGCGGGGGCGCATCACTCAGACGGGATTGATTAACGCCATGAACTTTATCCTTTGAACCCTATCCTTACCGCTGAACCCGAACAACTATGAAAAGCGAATAAGCTATCATGGATTCCCAGAGCATTTTGCATTCTTTTACCTCTGAATATGAAATGAAATTTGTCGGTTCACTGAGGAGACCTGCCTTCGGTTTCGGCAATGTAAGAATGCATCGCTTCACCATACAATAAGATCCCAAATTACCCTTTATCTTGTTTATCTTAAAGCCTTCTGTACATTTCATTAAATTCGACCTCAGATGTGCTGACGAGATACATTCCTTTTTTGTCGTAACTACCTTTCTTGAACGGTTCTTTCCCATTGAGAGTCTCCTTTGGTGGATGGGTTTTCTCTGACTACTTACAATTAGCCTACTATCCAGGAAAGGGCGGAAGCGTAGTAGCTTAAGTGGCGCACTGCCCGGTAACCGAACCTCGGATTTACATCTGCCGAAGTTAGAGAAGCTTTTCTTCCCTTCTAAGTCGATTTTTCGTTATCAGACTCCTCTTGGAGTATAAAAACGCTGACTTAAGCTGGGCTGGCCAAAGAAGAGAGTCATTTTACGAATCAAAAACTACGGTCCTTAATGGAAGTCGAATGCCAGGCGCACCCTTAACGGTATTGATTAAAGCTGAGAACTTTCGCTTTTTTGCTTTATCTAAGAGGGAACAAGGGTTTTTATAACACACGCCCGTATATACTAGTAATGTTTCGGTCCATAGGAACCAATTATATTCACAATTCCTACCTTCTGGTCATGACCCTTCCAAAACATAAGGATAAAGGATAAAGTTTTTGGCGTTAATCAATCCCGTCTGAGG